CCGTTTGCTTTGTCGACTTCGCCGCCGCATTCGATTCCATCCATCGTGAGTCAACATCAATGGAAAGCATGCCAAAGCATGGATACTTCGGCGTTCAGTCGTAAAGGAACAAGCAAACCGGGGGATACAATGCCAGTACATGACTCCAGGACACGAGCCAATCAAGCCGGATTCCGCGTTGGGCGTGGATGTGCGTATCAGATATTTACACTGAGGCGCATTCTAGAATTCCGCCCTAGCTACCAGCAACCGACGGCCGTTTGCTTTGTCGACTTCGCCGCCGCATTCGATTTCATCCATCGTGAGTCAACATCAATGGAAGGCATGCCAAAGCATGGATGCTTCGGCGTTAAGTCGTAAAGGAACAAGCAAACAGGGGGATACAATGTCAAGGATTAACGTGTCGGCTGTAAATTTTACGGTTCGATTTTGAAACACAAAAAAATCCGTCCTCAAGTCAACTCGGAGAAGTAAAAGCACAGTTAATTTTCAAAAAGGATAAATTGGGCTAGAGGAAAAAAATCGTTTTAAAAAAGGGAAAACTCATATAGAACAGGAAGGCCTACCTGGATCAACAGAACTGATGCCATCCATGAAGGCCTCGATCTGTTTCCGGGGACCCTTCGACTCCAGCAACTCCACACGCTGCAGCCAATCACTCACATTGTGGGGATTCTGTCGAAGCAGGACACTGTTCAGTAGCAAGGGTCGTTTCTCCATCAGAGACTCCAGGCTAGCTAGGGCTAGCTCCACCTCCAGTTCGTCTGAAGAAAGGCAGAGAGTAGTCACGGCGTGAAGCAAACGGCACACTAAGTTCAGGTGGCTAAGATGCAGCCAAGAGTGTTAAATTATGCACAGTAAGCAATCGTTTTCTACGGATGGCCTAGACGACTACGGGAGTGGATACTGTGACTCGTGCTACGGCTCGACGGCAGGTGAGTCTCACTTTCAGGCTCTACAGCAAATCAAACAGCATGCTAGACGGATACGCATAACTCCATCCACAGAATGATAATGTTGTAACGGATGCCCAGGCCTAAATATTCGCCGTCTAACTACGCCTCATGTGAGCCCCCAAAGGGAGAACACGACAAGAAGTGTGTAGGAAGCAGAAGTCTTTTAGTGTCTGAGGTACAACGTATTTAGGAAACAAACGCGTGTCAACGATGTCCCTTGAGCCAATCAGAGTATCTCCTGAAATACTCGCCGGTATTATTGGCTGTTGGCTCAGTGAGTGAAGCTAAAAATTCAAATTATTGATTGGTTTTCT